TTAGAATCTCGTCTTGTCACCCAGACCGGAGTGCAATGCCATCATCTCAGTTTACTGCAACCTCCCCCTCCTGGGTTCATGCAATTCTCCTGCCCCAGCCTCACGAGCAGCTGGGACTACAGACACGTGCCACACACCCAGCTAATTTTGGTGTTTTTAGTAGAAATGGGATTTTGCCATGTTGGCCAGGCTGGTCTCGAACTCTTGACCTCAGGTGATCCACCTACCTAAGCCTCTCAAAGTGCTGGGATTACAGATGTGAGCCACTGTGTCTGGCCGCCTCTTAAGCAGCATTTGCTGTCCTCAATGACATTAAGACCTGGGCTGAGGGGACGCTGCCACAAGGATGGCGGGAGCGCGTTCAGGCCGAGCCTCTGCTGCTGTGGGCTTTTGGGGAAGTGGCCCGACTTCTCTGAGCCTTGGGAGGTGAATGACGCCACTCTGACTCCATCCAGGCTTGGTTCTTGTCACTGCTGTGTTCAGGATGTCTCCCTCCAGCCAGGGATGGGCTCGGGCTCCTGGGAAAGGAACACAGATTTCTTCTGTTGTGAATATACATCTCTGAGAGGCTGGACTATGAACCCCATTTTCCAGATAGGAAATAGACTCACGTGCATCTGAGGGGCTGCAGTGGGGTGAGACCACACCTTGACCTTCCTCCACATCCCTCATCTTTTTCCAAAGTCATTAACCTAACCTTGGGCAAAAGGCTTTCAGGCCTCAGGTGATTAGGCCTGGATGCTGTGCCCGGGCCTGGCTCATAGATGATTCCTGGGATCCTCAAGAGGTAGAGAAGACTGGAGGGCCGAGAGGCAGTGTCCTGTCCAGGGCCAGCCAGGCGAAAGCGGAAGAGCCAAGATCCTGGGCACCCTAGCTGGGCTCACATGAGTGCCTGTGGCGGGGGTGTCCGTTGCTTATTGCCAAGGCGCTTTGCCTGCCTTTGCTGGAAGGCGGTAGGTAGGTTGCCCGGCGCCAGCCTGCTAAAGAATGAGCAGAAGCTAGAGAGGCAGCCCTGGGCTGGGCCAGTGCCTGACCTTTGCCTTAATTGGCTCTGTCCCTGGAGGCATTGTGGGACCTGCCAGGAGCTTTGTTACCTCCCCCTCCCAGGGCCTGGCAGGTGGGCACTGGGGGGGTGCCTTGGCATAGATATCTCCCTCTTGGTGTGGCAAGCCACACCCATAGTTGGTCTTTGTCCATGAAGCGCTATTTACAGAGAGAGAAACAGGCCCAGAGAAGAACAATTTGTCATCACCATCCTTCCACGAGTGCTTACTGGGGACTAAGCCATTGGAAACTCTTCACTTCCAATTCATCAGTGCTCCCATCAGCCTTAGGGGATAGCCAGGAAACCGAAGTGGGGAGCTTGTGTTATTTGCTGAAGGTCCTCTGGCCATTACTGGCCATTTCTTATGTTTAAAAAAAAAAAAAAGGAATCAAACCCAGTCCCGGGTCCTTCCGCCAAGGAATATTATCCACCATAGGCTCGGTTTTCTCATCTGCCAAGTTGGCACTGTCACCTCCACCTGGAAGTCAGGTGGGGACATGGTATTGGACAAAGGCCCAGCCAGCCCCACAGGGACCTGGTACCCAGTTGATGTTTAGCTGACCTCAGTTTCCTCCTCTGGAGGGCAGAATGGAGGCCAGGTCCTGCAAGTTGCAGGGAAGCAAACCACAGGTGAGGTGAGAGATATGGGAGAGGAGGTCCAGGTAGGCATATTGTGAGAATAATCAGGAGTTTGATGATGACCTTGGGGAAGTGGTTTCCAGTCACCTCATCCCCATTTGAAACTTGTGGCTCACACTTTGAGCAAGGGCTTGCACAGCTGAAATGTGAGCCCTTTTTAAGGTTGGTTTCAGCCTTGCTCCCTCCCAGGATTCTCTGGTTCTGAACTTGATCTCCACCAACCCTAGCCAGCACCTGGAGGAAATAAGAGCTGGTATCTGGAAACATTTGTTGCCCTCTCCATCCTGAAGATTAAGGCCGAGTCTGAGAACAGAGTGGGCTCGGGGGAGGTGCCGATGACACAGCCATGCCTGGGATGGCAGTCGTCTCCCTAAACTGCTGGCATTTTTCTGCAAAGCAACCCCATTAACCGCACTTCACATCAGAGCTGAGGCTCCCAGGCCGCACATGACCTGCTGAGGGTCAAATGCTTTCACCAGATAATTAAAATGAAGGCTCGGTTGTAAGTTTTCGCAGGGAAGCAACCCCAGAGAGGAAAGATCAAGGTGTGGGAATCATTTTCGCCCCTTTTCCAAATGAAGCAGCTGACACTCACAAGGGCTTTGCCCAAGGTTGTGTGGTGGGCCAGTGATTGGACGGGGATTCAAACCCAGGTCTCTGAGGCCCCCAGTGGCTCTTCTCTGACACTCCCTTTCCAAAAAGCTGCTCTAGATTCATTATCTGGTTTAGCAACCGAAGTGCTGTGTAACCTCTGGAAAGGAGCTTGACCTCTCTGTGCTCTGGTTTCTGTAA